AATGTTGCAGTGAATTCAGAAACATAGGTCCGAGTACGATCAACAATCGACAACCCAAACTCGATCATATGACTGGCTTCAGAAAATCAGTAAGTTAATATAAATGGTAAAACTCATGTCAGAGACTGTTCTCACTTGCAGATTACATTGTAACACGAGCTGCCTTGAGCTCTAAAAATGTAAACAAGGTAGTTAAGCAACTAGCTGAAACAGTGGCAATCAAAATAGGAAAGATGGTGAGTTTTGTTTTTGCACTAAAATGTTGATCAAACTGTTGTGACCTAATGTACAAAGTAATTATTGYTAAGTGTACTTGAAGTTTGAAGAAGATTTAAGCCAGTCAAATGGTTGTACAGAAATAATTAAATAAATAAACAACTAGAAATTACGCTTTGTTGAATTTTGCACTTTAACTTTAGTTCTGTTTAATTTTGCCCATAAATATTTTCAAAAATATTTTTTCCAAAGTTTTGAATCGAAAATTAGTTAAATGCATTTTTACAGATTAAAATAGTTTGTGATACTATAGTTGTGCCRGTATGTATTGCTTGATTTCATAGTGTACTAAAACCAATTTAAATTAAAACATGTTGCTTTTTGTGTCAAATGTTGTTAGAAAATACAAATTAAATACAGTTRATCTAAATTATTGATTACAAACCATCTAATACATATTTTATTGATTCCTACATTATTTCTTGGATGCTGTAAAATAATAAATTTTCCATGTAAATATATGAAAAAAGTTCAAGACGGGAAGCATCTAACATAGTGTATCAACATTTAGTTCATGTTTTTTGCAACATTAGATAAACCCCCAAGGTATATCAGTATGCTATTACATTATCCCATTTTCCAATGAAATATATTTTTATGCGAATATTTCTTTGTATTTTGATTTGTTGTGCCTGGTTTGATTAGACATAAAAAATTTGTCTTAATTGCCATTTATTGCTATGCTTTGTGAAATTACTAGTTAGTAATCATCAGTTATTAAAGATGASTTAGCCAACTTTAGTGTAACAAAAACTGATGGAATAATTGGAAAATGAAAAAAATCAAAGTAAATAATAGAAAGGAAATAGAAAATAACAAATCCAAATAAATATCTGAGAGCAAAAAAAGTTGGTCAACATCAGTGGAGGTGATGAGGGAAAGATGGGGTTAAAGAGCAAAAAAAAAAAAATCAACACTTTTTGATCTTTTACAGTTTCATCAGTGTCACACATCTATCTGAGGCAACCTCTGAGTGAATGTAAGTAATTTATTTTTCTTAACAGTCAGTGWCAGAAGTTGTTGCATTGTTGATATTTTTGAAATATGTATTCTGATTGACTTTCTTCTTCATTTCAGGACCCTGTATGTGGCAGTGCAAGGAATGTAGTTTGAAGCTAGCTAGCAGGTATTTGTTGTTGCAACATTTTCGGCAGGCTCACGGGCATTTTAGGGGAAGTTGTCGCTATCCATGTCCATACAAAGATTGCCCGTGTACATTTAACACATGGAACAAACTCCTCAATCACACATATAAAAGTCATGCTAAAGAAAACACTGAAGAATCAGTAGTTTCAGCTTGTACATTTCAGTGTCRTGTGTGCTTGTGCAGAGAACTTGCAACAGAAAGAGATTTTTTTCAACATATAAACAAACATCTTAGGCACAATGAAACTGTTCCATGTGTGTTTTTAGGATGCAGATTTAAGACCAATATTTACAGTACATTCAATACTCACAAAAACAGAAAACATAACCAACATTCATTAGAAGATTTTAGAGCTGATGTTATCACTACAAGTCAGTTGCATCAGACAGACCTTTCTGCAGATGGACTAGGAGGGTCTGAGGATATAGATTGTGAACAAGACACACTAAGTTGTGGTGAAGCTGAAGAATTACACTTACCAAATGTTATTGAAGATAAAATCGCTTGCATCTTATTGAAGTTGGAAAACATTGTCCATGTACCGAGGGCAGCTGTTGATGAATTCCTCTCTGAACTTCACCACATATTAAGTACAGCATCTTTGCCTATCACAAAAGTGATTATTTTAGATGTGTTTCACAGTCACCGAATACAAGTTGATGAGTCTTTAGTCAACGAGCTTTCCACTGTGCTATGCAATTGTAACTCATTGGCCAAAGCTATTGCAAAGGATGGTCCTCTTGCTACTGCGTACAGACGCGCACAGTACTATACCACTCATTTTGGTGTTGTAGAGCCAGTTGAGTACATTCTAGATTCCCACAAAAAGAGGACATTTCAGTATATTCCTTTACTTCAGTCATTACAACAGTTATTCTCTCATACAGGCGTTATTGAACATCTTGAATCTCCAAGATTCGAAAAGCAGCCAGTTGCCTCTTTTCAATATGCTTCCATAAGAGATGGTGAATACCACAGACAAAATTTGTTTCTGTCCAACGAAAGTCTGACAATAGCAGTTCATCTTTATGTGGATGATTTTGAGGTGTGTAATCCTCTAGGAACATCTCGCAAGAAACACAAAGTTACGTGTGTTTACTGGGTTCTGGGTAATTTACCACCAGGTTCACATTCAAAGCTAACATYGATYTACTTAGCTGTTCTTTGCAAATCTGATGATGTCAAGGCATATGGCTATGAGAGAGTGCTAGAGCCACTCCTACAAGACTTGATAATATTGGAACAAGACGGCATCTTTATTTCACAGCTTGGTCAGTTTATCAAAGGTTCAGTCCAGTGTGTAATAGCTGATAATCTTGCAGCGCATGGGATTGGTGGATTTATTGAGAGTTTTTCTAGTGGATCAATTTGCAGGTTTTGTACTGGAGATAAATCAGAGTTTCAGATTAAGGATGTCAATTCAGGTGCGTTTCAACTAAGAACAAAAGAGATCCATGACTCACATGTCCAGTTYGCTCAAGAGAATTCCACTATTTGCACAGGTGTAAAAAAACAGTGTGTTTTCACGAAGCACCTCACTCATTTTCATGTTTGCACTGGTTATCCCCCTGATATTTTACATGACCTCTTTGAGGGTGTTGTGCCAGTAGAACTTGCACGCTGTATTAGTTTATTGATCTCAAAAAAGTTACTGACCCTTGATTATTTGAACACATTGATTCTAACATTTCCATACAAGTGGGGAGACAAAACAAATCGCCCTCATGCCATCCCACGATCTTTCACATCTAGCAACACGATAGGTGGTAATGCACATGAAAATTGGACCCTTCTAAGATTGCTTCCTTTGTTAATCGGACAAATTGTGCCTGAAGATGAGCCTGCATGGCAGGTCATTTTAGATCTTAAGGACATTGTTGAGCTGATTGTGGCTCCTGTTCACACAGATGAGACGATTGCGTATCTTGAGGCAAAGATCTGTGATCACAGACAGTGGTATCTTGATGTCTTTCCACATTGTAAGCTGCTCCCCAAGCATCACTATTTGGAACATTATCCGCACATGATCCGTTGCTTTGGACCTTTAGTTGCACTGTGGACAATGAGATTYGAAGCTAAACATAGCTTCTTCAAGCAGGTTGCCCGGCATACAAACTGCTTTAAAAATATATGCTAYTCACTTGCTGTTAAACACCAGTTCATGATAGCATATCACAACCATTCATCTACTCTCAAAAGATCATCTTTAGAGGTCACAGATACCTCTCTAATGCCTGTTGACATTCTCAGTGAAGGGGTTGTGTCTGCACTTAAGCAAAGATACCCAGATGTGTCTGAGGTACATATGACAAAAAGGGCATCTTACAATGCTATACATTACAGTGAAGGGATGCTTGTTGTTCATGGATTTGTAGATGGACTACCTAGATTTCACAAGATCATTCAGCTGTGCATCATAAAAGATGAATTATTCTTTCTTGTGAAAGATGCATGTGCTTGGTATAGGGAACATTATCGTGGGTTTGAGTTAACTGACTCACACTCTGGAGAGGTTGCCCTCATTGAACTTTGTGACTTACAGGATCCATATCCCTTGGTAGAGTACAGAGTGGGGTGTTTACGCTTGGTAATGTTGAAAAGATTCATCATTGTTAACGGTGAGTGTAGAAAAGCAAATGTCACCATTGTACCTTTCTTTTTTTAACTGTGCTGAAGAAAATTTAGTGACTGATTAACTGAATTTATATCCAGTATTGTATTTTCAGCCATATACAATGGTTTAAACCGGGGAACAGAGTCATTGTGTCCTATTAATGCATTCCTTCTGTCTGTATTAACAAAGTTTGGTTTGGCATTTTAATGTCCGACATAAAAGGTACCGCTACCAGGGGTGTGACCAGGAAGTCAGATGTACATGTTACTTTAAGGTTGATTCATCATTAATGATTATGCAGTCTCACTCTTCAACCCATTTTCACTCCCAAGTCGTCACATATTGACGCTTTTCCAAGGTTCCCTCTACATC